TCCGTTGCCGGACACAAAAAAAAAAAAAAAAAAAAAAAAAAAAAAAAAGAAAAGAAATAGGCATATGTAGGGGGAACAAAGGTGACTGTTTCAGAGAATGCTTTGAGCCCACAATTAACACTTTTCTACTGGTAGCATCAAGAGACTAAATCATTCAGACCAGAAGACAATTTGCTGGTGAGGGGGGCTTTCACAGTTCTGTGACTCACATATTTGGGAAGGGACAATGGGAAAGCAAAGACTTTCTCCTCTTTAAATGAAGAACCCGAGACCTTGAGATGGCCCTTGGGTGATAGACGATATCTTCGGTAGGATTGTTTTTCTGTGATGTAGCTCGTGGTCATAGCCTAAGAAACAAGAGCCTCCGGGGGACAATGGGAAAGCAAAGACTTTCTCCTCTTTAAATGAAGAACCCGAGACCTTGAGATGGTCCTTGGGTGATAGACGATATCTTCGGTAGGATTGTTTTTCTGTGATGTAGCTCGTGGTCATAGCCTAAGAAACAAGAGCCTCCGGCGAACTGTGTAAACAGCAGTTCTGTGACTACTGGCTGATCTCAGATGGTGTTTAAAAAGCACATGCCATGCCCAGAAGGCTAAGAAGATACCATTCATCACCATGACTTCTGTAGGAGCACACAAGTCAGCCAAAGACACTTGGTGGGGCTTGATGACTTGGACCACTGCAGCCTGCACTCGGGATGTGTTGTAAGCAGCATTACCAAAGCAGTGGTTAAACTGAACTATCTGGGGCTGGCCAGAATAACATCCTAATGGGGCAGGGCAACCAGAATTTCCACATAATTGATGGGGAAGAAGCCTGACTGGCCATGAAGCATCCCCTCATACCAGTTCTCGTCAATTTGGTTAGTGAGTGTGATGATATCGCCCTCTTTAAAACCCAACTCCCCTTCATTTTCAGGTTCAAAGTCATACAGAGCTCGGCAGCAGGGCTGGTCCATTGCGACACCTGGGGGTAAGAGCAGGAGAGAAGAACACAGAAGGACAAGGGGTATTTAACTCATGGTATCTACCACCTGCTGCACCCACCCACCTGGCTTGCTGTTCTCCTTCTTTTCTCCCTCATTCCTCTTCCTGTGGAAGCTTCCTCTTGCTACTAGATCCCAGTATCCGCTGCCTGGGCATCTTGCCCTCTACCAGTCTTTAGCTTTCTCACATCTTTGGAAGCTGCTGGGTACTCCTGTTTCTGTTTCCAGGGTGAAAAATGGTCACATCTGCTCTTGCAATATGTACAGCAGAGTTCGCTAAGGTTTGACTTCCTGATAATGCCCAGAGATGGAAGACCCATAACTTAAGGAGTTTATAATGAGATTTAGGTTAATAACACAGGATGGCCAGGATTCTCTCATGTTAGCACTTTAAAATCTCAGCACATTTGAAATAGTACAATTAATTACAGGACAATGATTTGCAACCTCAGAATAATAGTTCAGCTTTCATTCTTAAAATAATAATTTCAGCCTCTGGAAAACTGCTATAATGTGGTGAAAACAAAATAATATAAAATACCGGGTTCAAGTTCTTCCTCTGTGTAACCTTACACAACGCATTTCACTCTTAGTTTTTCTGTTTAAAACTGGACATAACAGCAGAACTTACTTCACATCACTATTGTGGCTATTCACTGAAATTATGTAAAAAAATATATATAATTTATACTTGGTAAACGGTTGCATTTATAAGTATGAGCAGTGCATTGAAGCTATGGCATATAAAAAATAATGTGCTCTACCTCGAGTAAAATAACGAAGGATGGAATCATCCTTAAAATGTATCTTAAAAGGGACATATTTTAAATGATCTAATATATTAATGTAGCATACATACACGTGTGTACTGACTCAGACAAGTGCACATAGCTCCCATACCATTTAGGTGGCTTGGAAGGGAAATAACCTATTTTTTGATTTGGATAAAGCAGCAAATTAATGAGTCTCCAAAGAATGAAAAGTGAAATATACAGTTATTTCTGGTCAGGGAGAAGCACAGTTCAAGATAATTTAAATGACTAGTACTGGTAACCAGCTAACTTCAGGGAGTCACTGCTGTTTACACCACACACTGGGGGCTCTGAGCAGTGGAGGTGAGAACAAAGGGCAGAGGGCTCCACCTACTGGCTCACTCTTTTCATTCATAGTCTCCTGATGGTATCTTTTTAAAAGAATTCTACTGTTGACCATCAAGCACTAGTCATACAAGGAAAACAGGAGAGAGCTGCATATCTTTAAAATCCATACCCATGGGCCGGCCCGTGGCTCACTAGGGAGAGTGCGGTGCTGATAAAATCCATACCCAGTATAATACAGTTCCCACATCTTCAACCAAGCAAATATTAAAGTTGAAAATGTCTCAAGCACAGGCTTTTGTTTAATTTGTGTGTAGCGGCTGGAAAGCGATAGTAACAACAAGAAGAATGCATTATTGGGCATGCATCAATATTCCTGAGAGAAAATAAAACTTAGCTTGTATTATACCAACTTTAGTACCACATCATGATGAATTGGTCAGGGGTTGGGGGGTAGGAAAGGAAATCTAGCAGATGAGATTCAAAACACATTCTTCTGCAAATATATTCAACCACATGCCCCTGTGACTCAGGAAATCCAGCTCAACACATTCCCGGAGCTGCTGTCTATGGTCACATGTGGATGTACGTGGGTACGCCTGCCCAGGGGCAGCATTCCCATGCATGCTAGGTTCACAGAAGAGGAAAGGCAGGGAAAAAAGTGAGGCCACCAGCTCTAAACAGGCAAGTTAAGGTCATCACAAAGGAGGGCCAAAACCAAATGTGTTACTTAGGAGGTTAGCAAGTGCTGATGACTGAGAATGAGGAAAAAGCGACATACAAAGAAAGTTCTACTGAAAGGAAGGAAAATGAGGGAAAGAAAAGTCAATGAGAAAGGAAAAAGGGATTCCTTTCACAGAATTTCTACTGAAAAACCATCCTGTAAAAAACGTTATTACTGTATATTTCTTATGCAGCCAGATTGGATTGCTCCTAGAATTTCTGGAAAAGTGTCAACAGATGTGCCCAAAACCTATATAATGGGATGTGCAGGTCTAAGCTTCTTACCTGCAGGTTTGGGAGTGCCCATGTGGGAGAGACCCCCGTTGGGCTGAGTACTGTCTCCAGCTGGAAATTCCAGGCTCATTCGTGGTTTAGGCTGATATTCCCTTTTAGGCTGAGATGAAGCTTGTCTAATTCTGCATTGAAAAGGAGGAGGAAAAAAAGATTATGCAGTCAAGTAAGAATTGAAAATAAGAGCAATAATAAAATTCAGGAAATACTAGATGGATTTGCTAGCATTGGTGGGTGACCCAATTTACTCAATGGTCACAAACTAATCCAGCACAGTACAGTGTGGGAAATCTGAAAAGGACCCATAGTTTTCCTATATGTGTACATCTGTGCTTTTGGTGATGTCCCTCTATAGTCATATCCTGTCTTCGTTCTTTCCATCCCTCACTTCCTCCCACATTTATTCAGAGCTCTTTATGCAAATATGTACTGTGCTAGGTGCCAGGAACACAAAGATGAATAAGACACAGTCCTTGCCCTCAAGCAGCTTATGGTCCATAGGGGAGACAGAACATATACAACTGATTACCATAAATCATACTAAGTGCTGTTATAAAGATATCTGCAAAGTGCTGCAGGAACTCAGGGGTGGGTGGGGTGCTGGTAAAGGAAGAGTCCACCTTTCCATGGGGAAGCTGAAGAAGGTTTAAAGAAAGAGGCGAAAGATATGTAGGAGTTGCTTCCAGATGAACATGTGGAAGAAAGCTATTCCATATAGAGTATGAGAAAGTTTGAAGAGAGGAAAGGAGGAAATACTGCATGCTCTGAGAAAAGTGAGCAGTTTGAAATATGAGGAGGAGAAAAAGAACAAGGGGAGACAGGAGGTAAGTGGAAAGGTATGGCCAATAAATGTATTCTAAATACCCCTGAATGTTTTCAAGTTTCAGGCATTCAGTAAGCAAAGTATGTAATAGATTTGCAAGGGTGGGGAGGGTTAGGGTATGGTGATCATAGAATGATACTAAGTTTGAACATATTTCAGAGGAAAAAAAGGAAAGTGACGACTTCAGGCTTAACACATGTCACAAAGACACATAATATTTCTTTAATATTTTGAAGTGTAAAGTTTTAAACCTTTCTGGAGGCTTCAGTGTTATTCACATGTCCACTGAAGTAAGATGCACTATCAAAGCACTAAAAAGAAAATATAGGAAGAAGAGGAGATCGGCCAGATGGAAACAGTGGAAATAGGTGACACTTCCAATAATAGTGCAGCATAATATGACTGGAGTCTTCATTATGCAGGTAGCCATGTGATCAGCTAGGAGAGTCTAACCTGGTCATGATCTGAGAATAAAGTCTGCTGACATGATCCTTTCAGGTATATATGTTTAGCAAAACCATCCTGCTTAATCTGGCTAAATAAAACAGCACATATTACAGTATATATATGCAGGGCTACTGCATACAGCTGTGCAGGCTGTGCCCCACAACTCCAGGAAGCCCCATTCACAGCCCCACTGTGAGGTGCAGATGAGGAGGTAGAATAAGCTGATGAAAGCAGCTCTCTTGATGGCGGAAAACTTGACTGCCATTCAGAGAGACACAACGTGAAAAGGCACAGGCTTTCAAAAAACAGGCTATGCTTGACTGGGAGCCGCAGCTGTACCACCAAGTGACCCTGGGCTAGTAGTTCACATCCCTGAGCCTCAGTTTGTTCATCTGTTAGTTGAGGCAGAAAGTACTCAGTTTACAGGGCTGTTCTAAGATTGATGATGGTATGCATTCAGTACCCACATGGAGTATCTGCTCAGCCGATCATATCTGGTAGCATCAGTAGTATCCTGGTCAACATTTGTGGCAGCCAAAACAGGATCCAATAATCTCATAAACATATGATTAGATTCAATAGAACAAGGTAAAACAAAGCCCAGGACAAAATAAAATGTAAACAAACAATCCACACAGTGCCAGTGTAGGATCAGCAGCAATTTTGGTAGAAGTCTGTCTCCAAATGTATTCTATTATTTCCATTTCTTTACACACCATTTTATAGCAAGAAAATGCAAATGTGAAATTCAGGGAACTGAAATACCTTTCCTCCAGTCTGACGGTGACTTGTTGCAGGATCTGGACTGCCTGTTTGTGGTACTCCAGCTGGGCTTGCACGAGCGCAGAGAGCTGGCTCACCTGTTCAATCTGCAGATTGATGGGGTAACCTCCTTAGTTACCAGGTTGTTTTCCTTAAGCAGCTACTACTACCCTATACATATAACAGAGCTGGCCAGCCATACAGCCCAGTGCTGGGTGATGCTGATGACTGTGTGGTGAGCCAGGCTAAGATAGATAGTTCTGCAGGTTCCAAATTGATTAAGGTTAAGAACATCCTTACGCTTGGAACCATGCATATCAGTACCATAAGAAGCAGCAACATTAATAAGAATGCTCATGAAGACTACATAACTCTCATTAAATAGTCTCACTCTTAGCTACAACCTTGTTGTTAGGATTTGGCTTCTTTTATTCATGTCCTATAGGAAAAAGATGCATTGATCAAAGGACTCTTTGCTCCCTATAATTTTCATGCTAAATTAATGTTAGTGCTGTTAATAAAAATGTGAATACTGGTTTCTCGTATCAGGCACCATGGGAGGCAGTATAGTACAATGGAAAATCTTTTGTCCTCTCTGAGCCTCATCTGTAATGTAAAGGGGTTGGATCAGGTGACATGTTGAGTTCATTCCAGCTCTAATATTCTAAACATCCTTGTTACTCTTCATTTTGTGTCTTGTGTTGTGATTAGCTGAGTAATAGCCTCCAAGTCAACAGAGGAAATGTTGTCCCATGAGTTTGGGGGTGGGGCGGCCCCAGGGAAGGAGCAGTGTGATTCAGGTCATCTCTCATGCACACAGTATTTCTCAAGTAGTTAGGTAAACACAAGTTGTTTTACATAAACACAAACCTACACTGTCTCTGGGTGGTGGGAAAGTCTGGCTATGTTCAACATGCCTTCCCTAACACAGTCAAGAGTAAGGCAATTAAGTAATATGGTGGTTAATTTTAGGTGTCAACTTGACTGAGTTAAGGGATACCCAGATATCTGGTAAACCATTATTTCTAGGTAAATCTAATAGGCATTTCCAGAAGAGATTGGCATTTGAATCAGTAGACTTAGTAAGGAAGGTCTCCCCTTATCCAATGTGGGTGGGCGTGACCCAATTGGCCAAGAGCCCAGATAGAACAGAGAGAGGAAAGATGAATTCTCTATCTTTCTTCTGGGGCTAGGACACCCATCTTCTCCTGCCCTTGGACATCAAAGCTCCAGGCTCTCCAGCCTTTGAACTCCGGGACTTGCACCAGTGGCTCACCCTCAACCCCCACCATTGGGTGCTCAGGCCTCCAGCCTCAGCTCCCCTGGTTCTCAGGCCTTTGAACTTAGACTAAGTGCTGGCACCGGCTTCCCTGGTTCTTCAGCCTACAGATGGCTTATTGTAGGACTTCTCAGTCTCCATAATCATGTGAGCCCATTCCTGGAATAAATCCCTTCTCATAATCTATATTTATATCCTATTAGTTTTGTTTCTCTGGAGAACCCTGACTAATACAGTACTAAGTACATAAAGGCTCTATAAACATCTTGGAAGAAGTTGATCAGCAACTGATGGGTACTAGGTGGGTATGAACAAGGACAGGAAAGCTGGTTTAACAGGTCTTATTACATGAGTGGTCAACGGAGAGATTGCCTTCACAGCTTCAAAGTTAAAAGAACTCAACAGAATGTAACCTGCAAAGCCATGAATAATAATTTAGTACTCTGGAAGTATGAAAGCAGCTTTTAAACTATCTCATCTATGCCCTAAATGTAGTAACTATGCTACAATTATCAATCTCAATAAAAATTAATTTTTCAAAGAAAATGTCAAATTTACTTCAAAATACAGAAAATACAGAGCATTTTAATCTTTGCTGAGCACTCAATTCTGAATGTACAAGTTCATGGAAAGGCTCATATTATCTTTTAATTCTATTTTTCCACGAACTTTTTGAAGCACCCTTGTATTTTAGTTGATATTCTTTCATAATATGAAGTCAGTCTGCCCTATATTTCAACAAAGTATGTTTTTTAAGCTATGTGATTTATATATAGATCATCAGAAACATTCTTTATCTTCCCACTATTGGTAGTACTTTAAGATTCACTAATAGACAAAAATCTAGTTAAATCAAACTACTGGAATATAGAAAGAACTTTACCATTTCTCAGTCTATTTTATCATTTAAAATTATTTAAAAGAAATAAATTTCTGGGCCGGCCCAGTGGCGCACTGGATAGTGCGCCGCTTGGGAAGCGCGGCGGCGCTCCCGTCCGAGGGTTCGGATCCCACGTATAGACCGGTTCCCGCTCACTGGTTGAGCGAGGCGCGGGAGCAACACCGAGGCTTGCGATCCCGTTGCCGGTCCCCGGTCCGGTACGGGGGCAACACTGAGGGTTGCGATCCGTTGCCGGACACGGAAAAAAGACAAAAGACAAAAAAAAAAAAAAAAAAAAAAAAAAAAAATTTTTACC